AACAATATGGACAAAGGCACTCAAATTTGGTCTGGTTTGGTGGTGAGTTCTTGTTTGCGATATATAATTCAATTATTATCAAGTGGGTAATGTATGGTTGAAGGAGGATTGGTGGCTATTAACTTTATGAGCTAGCCTTTAAAATTTTAGTCCATTAGCGGACTGGATTTTGATCAAAGAGTATTGAGTTGGATACATTTTTTTCAAACTCAATAGTCAAGAATTCAAACCAAGCTTTAAAAACTCGGTAGTGCTTTCGTTCGCTGAAAATCGGGTAGCAGTAGCATGCATGCATAGTAGTCATTCCTAAAGGAGCTAGACTAGATAAGAGAATGTAATTAGAGAAGAAATATATTATTATCGTCAAATGGGGGAGGAAGGTTAATTAAAAGGGAATGGACCAATAAAGGGAGGAAGCCAGGACTCCTAGTCCTAGTACGTACGTGTTAATTGAGTTGGAGAAGTAAGCGAGGGATTGAGTCGTTTTGTTTTGGGAAAAAAGCGAGGGTGGGAAAGATAGGCAACGGAAGAATGTCTTCTAATATTAATATGGTAATATTAAGTTGTACCGACCGATCGCGAGACGACTGATACAGTACAGCACCAGTGCTCCTCATAAGTATTAAGGTAGGGTGTAAAATTGGTCTTCCAAAGAGGGCAAATCCGACGATGAGAGTCTTTTTGTTGCTCTGGAGACGCCGGCCGCCTGAAACTGGAAAAATTGGATAGTAGACTTTTATATATATATATGTATATATGTATATGTAGAGAGGTTGATTGGTGTAACTGAAACATCATTATTAGGAGTATTATTATTATTAGCAGGGCAGGTGCGGGAAGGGAGTGGTTTATGTAAAAATATTTTGAGCCAAATGGAGGAACAAAAAGACAGCACGGGAGCAGCACAAGGAACGATGGATCGGCCGGAGGGGGAGTCCAGCGCTTGGTTCTCTCATCTCCGTTGGTGTGGTCGACGCAGCAAGTAGCAGTAGACTAGCAGTAGCAGCAGTACATTTGAATTTGATTTGAGCGAGGAGACACGACGAAAATGATGATGATGATGATGATGATGATGGTGAAGAGGAGGAGATAATGGCGCGGGGGTACTGGGGAGGGGACCAACCACACACAGAAGAAAGCAAGTGTGTGTGGGGGCAATTACTGTGCGAGTTGCGGGACCTGCATATTTGTCCTTCCTTGCTTGCTCGCGATGGCGGATTGGAATTGTCAATTTTTTTTTGTGGTCAGTGGTCGGTACGTAATGGCCATTTGCAGCAGATGCTTGCTGTCTGTATAAAAATCAAATCAGTACTACTACTACTACTTCTATAGGAATGCATTATTGCTTCTTTCTCTCGTCGTCCTCCATCGTTCTACTTATACATACATATATACATATACATATATATATATATATGTGTGCTTGTGACTCGTCCGTCTCTTTGTGTCCGCTAATTTATTTCTGGAGAATTGGGGCATCGACACAAATACGTACATTTACATAGCTGATAGCAGTTGTTTGTTACTGCCGCCCCGCACGCTATGCTACCATCAAGCTGCTTCAACCACTAATCGCGTCTCTATCTGCTTTTGCTGCTGGTAGCATGCATGAGTATTGAGTACTACTACTAGTAGAAGTAGTTTCTTCCTCGCGTCATGAAATTCCAGTAGTAGTGAGCAATGAAGGACCATTTCGCCCCTCACCGCCCTCAGCTTGTTTCGTCGATGTATAATTATTCATTCATTTTCTACATTGTTAGTGCACATCTGGGGGCGGGGCTTTGTAGACTAGGATAGAAACATAATTTTAATTTGCAGCCACCGCGGCGGCCCCCTCTCCCCTTTCCTCTCTCTCTCTCTCTCTCTCTCGCAGAAAGAACAAAGAAGTTGAACAAACAAAACTTTTACTCAGTTCTTTGGCTATGTCCTGACTTTGAACAGCAGCGCTACCAAAATCGAATACAATAGAATGGATATATATTCCCTTGACTTGAGCATTCTGACCGTGTCTGTCTGCATTTCTACTACATAGATGAATGATAATTATATAAAATTTAATTTTTGTATATATGTCATGGATTCAAGATGATAGTGTATATATAAGATTTATTCTAAAAATAAATATTCTAAATTACCAGAAGACGAGTTACAACGAAATTCGTAATTAATGTAAGTGCAATGATCGTTCTCTACATGTAACAGCGCACCATTTGGGGTCATGCTACTACTTACTTCATTTTGAGTTTTGACTTGTACATCAATTTCATTAACAAAAAAGGAAAAGGAAAAAAAAAAACACCGATCTCCATTATACACAACTATAACCATTTTGAATGACCAAAACCAGACCGCGTCTCTAATCTAATGACGACTCAGTCCTCGCTACTTTGCCAAATTCTTGCTTTCTAAGTGTCTTTAATGAAAGAATTTGATGATCAACATCTCGTCTCATCTCATCCAAGATTTATGTTTACTGTGGACATACCAATGCACACCCCTTAGTTAATACGAGGTGAGAAAAATGATGGACCTTGGAAGGCATGCATAACACTATCGTCCCATCTGCATCCACTCCCAAAATTTCCCAAGAAGAAAACCTTTTGATTTCATTTGCGCCCAAAGTCGAGGCTCAATTTCTTCTGCTTAACCGTTGGTCCTGTGACGGAGCTTTGCTCAATGGGGTAGGACTATTGTTGATGATCATGTCATCCGGTGGGCTGTTTTGTTTCACATGCAAGTGCATCCTTGGATATCTTAGGCTTAGCCACATTATTGTGTTTGGTTGAATGAAATTTGAAATTCTTTCTACTCCCACCCAAAACCCCTAAGAAAAAAAAAAATGTCGAAGCTGCCAAACGAATGGCTAAAGTCCATGACGTATGATTCTTCACGGACCCAAAAGAGATTGGGCGTCCAATCACACCAGGAATCCATCTCAATATCCTTGCCTTTATGCCCACTCATGGGCTGCCATCAGCCAACCTCGTTATATCTATAGCCCTAATCGAAAGTTTTTTATTTTATCAAAGCGAAAAAGAAAAAAAAAAAAGAAGAAGAAGAAGAAGTAAGAGGCGAAGTAAAATATACTCCATGGAATTAAAATGAAAGATAAGAAAGTGAAAATAGGGAAAGTTTCGAATCAAACCAAAACTTTGCTTGATTTTTTTTTTTTTTTTCGAGATGATAACTATTGTATAACCTATTCTATCATATACTAGAGATGAGGGGGAATTAAAGAGTCTTGTATTGGGAACTAGTAGGTACACAGATTTTACTAAATCAAATGGGTGCTCTGATATCACCCTTGAATTTTTTTCGCTGCAGATGAGATTTGAACCCTCATCTACAGCCCAAGCAGAGGCTTAAGTTCCACTTGGTGGCCAAGCTCAGTGGTTCCAAAACTTTGCTTGATTGGTACTCTGAGGTTAGAAAAAACAGCAGTAAATGGAAAATGGGTGAGTCCAAAGTCCAAAGTGGGAAGTGGGGATGATTAAGAACAGATAAGAGGTTTTGTAGAGTGGAGGGATGGACGCCATCCGAGTCCAACCACACAATCATCTCATGTCCACGTTGTCAAAGAGAGATAATTTGAGAAACCTCCTCCTCCTCCTCAGAGGTTTGTAATGATTGCAACTACCTCCCTTGAGGTTCAAAAAATTACAAAAAACTTCCCCAACAAATGATGATGTAGGCACAAAAAATCCAATGAATATCTTATATTGCACAAAATATATTAAATGACAAAAGAAAGAAATCAAATATCAGCAATACTTGCTAAGTATATACATAATTTTAAGATAGGCCCTTGCAGCAAAATCTAGGCTATGTTCTAAGGCATCATTTTTTAATGCATGGACTTTTTTTTTGTTCCTCTTTGCTAAGCAAGTCGTGAAGAAATCGTTTTTAACAAATGCATCCTTATTAATCGGCTATTTATAAACTAGGTAAGAAGTCCATTTAAATGAATTAGCAATTGAATACAACGCATTAGGTGGGATGAACTTAGAGGTTTTGGATAAGAAAATATTTGCAAAATGCGGTTTACTTTTTCCTTTACACTCAATTGTCACCTAGAATTTGTAAGGTTGTCAATACTACTATTATACTCTTTCTATAACACTAAGAGAGGTGGATAAGTGTAATTTTTCAAACTTCAAGGGAAGTGGCGCAATTACCAGAGACCCGAGGGGAGGTTTATGAAGTTATCCCTTTTAAAGAAAATGTGAATACGCAGTAGTGCTGCACGCCAATCATGAAAATTTCCAAAGTAATTAATTCTCCAGATGCCAGCCAGCCAGCCAGCCAGCCAGCCAGCTGTGGTTTGAAATTTTGAATGGGGACTCGGAAATGAAACGGACATCATCAATCCTCTAATAAGGATCCTAATTGTGTCTTTTTTTTTTAATATAAATCATTATTATTTTGTGGTGGTTTGGGGCCCAATAACTCGTCAATTTCATTGGCCACCAATTAAAGTGCCCATTCTTCTTCTTCAACTTTTTTGTGTTGCTGATTGATTGTTTGATGGGTAAATCAGATGGAGTCGAACACGCACAAGAGAACCTTTGACCGTAAATGAACGAACAAACTCCGCCCCATCTGATCTCAACGATCATTACAATTTTCAACACACCTTTTTATCTTTTCAATTATCTTTTTATCTCACGTACATCACATACAATAAAAATATCTCAAATAATTTACGATCCAAACAGACCCTATGAGAGTTGTGAGTTGTGACGCCGCCCCAATCATGGACTGAACCTCGTCCGCACTGACAATTGTAATTATTACGCCACATTTCTTCTTACGCGCTTCTCCCCTCCCAACACTCCCAATCCAAGTACTTTTGCTTGAAAGAAAAAAAAAAAAAAAAAACTCTTCCTGCTAGGACTCGTATTTGTGTCTAGGATTTATACTAGTATTTTATACCCAGTAGCCCTTTTTTTTATTTTTCCTTTTTTATATATACTCCTATAAAAAATTATACTACTGCTTACCTGGTCTAGTCTAGCCTGGTCCAGCCTTTGTTCAGAAATTTTGCTTAGACTTTGTCCACCGGACCGCCACCCACATTTCTCCACTATACTACAGCTACCGCTACCTTCCTTGCAACTGTAGCTAACTGCTTCTTGGTCTTGGTTCCTTCTCCCTCCCTAACACCCAAACTTCCACTCTTACTTAAACCGTCTCTTCTTTCTCCAGCGTTAATCTGCGCTGACCAGACTCCCCCAACGGCCAAAGGTGATTCTTTGCTTTATTTTCATCTCTCGATTTTTTTTTTTTTTTTGGGAATTTCGCTCCAACCTGAGCCTTGATTACTTTGGAAAGATTGAATTTTTCTGCTTTAGGACTGTGAATGCCTTCGTGATGATTATTTGCGGATGCTTTGATATACTTGTACTTTGCTGCAAATTAAGTAAGTAGGATTACAATTTTATTTTCGTGCTTCCGGGTTCCACTCCTCTTTTTTTTTTTTTTTTTAAATTATTTTTTGGGAGGGAAAGGGTGAACCAGTGATGAATTTGCTTCTTTAGATACCGTCCTTGATTGATTGATTTGATTAATTCGTCTTTTTTTGGTTACCGTTTAGCATGTGTGTCAGCGCCTCGATGTCCCTGAAATCCTGTGTCTTGTTCCTACTTGCCAGGATGATGCTTTCTTCTAAGTTTCCTATTGTCTTTTCATTTCATCTCTCAAGCTAAAACTTGTATCGTCCTTATTTTAATTCACTGCTTACGGTTTCTGAAGCATTGCAGCGCAATAGTTTCCAACTGGAGCTTGATTCATCTATTTGACTCTTTTTTTTTGGTTTTGCGTGTAAATAACCGCCCTTGTAGAGGACAAAATTTTGAACTAAGTTTGCGCTTCTGTTACTTGCTGTACACTCACTTATTGACCTAAATGTTGCTTTGCGCTTGGCTTTATGCCTTACAACGACATGCAGGCACCACGCATCCAAATCTTGGAGAAAAGCACACCGGTGTAATTATCCCTAACACCAACTTGGATGTGTTCTGATCTTATATGTTACTCAAAACAACTTTTACCATCTAAACAACAGCTCTAGATACGAAGTGGCTTATCAGAATACTTGTCTTGTATCTAGAACCACTACTTTTGGCCATTTATATGGTGACTGTCCTTTAATTTTTTTTTTAAAAAATAATAATAATAATAAGGACTTGCAACGAAGCAAATGCTTTATGTTCTTATTTCTTGAGCACCCATGGTTTATCTTTCATTTCTATAATTAGTCATACTGCTTAACCAGATTACAAGGGAAAAACAGAGGTTGAACAAAATAAACCATGAGCTGCTTCGGTTGTTGTTCGGAAGATGACATGCAAAAGACACATGATCATGGACCATTTACAGCAAATAACTTTGCAGGTGAGTTTCATTCTGGACTTGTATTTCTACTGAAATAGCTAATTCCATTCTATGTCACTTTAATGGGCTAGAGTGACCTGCTTGAATTTTTAACCTCTTAGTTTCTATTGAAAGCTGCCTCTTTTTACCTTGAATATGAGATAGAAAATGTACATAATTTGATTTCACCTGCCATGGCTTCATTTAGACATTTTTAATTAGGTTGTTGAAGAAAACTTTTGGCTTTTCTAAGCTACAAGGAGACATACTTTGTCACAGTAATGTTGTGCAACTTAACTGCTTGCTGTTCACTTGTTACTTTCTGCAATTCTCGTTAGTAAATCTTCGAAGGGACCTCATCACAATAAAACTTACAGTAAATGCTTTGTAGGTAATAATGCAGGCTTTCGTGTCCCAGAATCAGTTCCAAAGGACCAACCAGCCAAAAGGATCCAGCCAATTGCTGTCCCAGCTATTCCAGTTGATGAATTGAAGGACATCACAGATAACTTTGGTACAAATGCTTTGATTGGTGAGGGATCATATGGAAGGGTATACCATGGTGTCTTGAAAAGTGGCCAGGCTGCAGCCATAAAGAAGTTAGACTCCAGTAAGCAACCAGACCAGGATTTCTTGGAACAGGTTGGGGCCGTGAAGTTTAGTTTGTAATATTTTTCAAAAAAGGTACTTGATCTAGATAATTGATAATTACTACTTGTGCTATTTGGTGCATGGCTTTCCAGGTTTCTATGGTATCAAGATTGAAACACGAAAATGTTGTTGGGCTTCTTGGTTATTCTGTGGATGGTGGTCTCCGTGTCTTGGCCTATGAGTATGCTCCCAATGGATCTCTGCATGATATTCTTCATGGTATGTTAAGAAAATATTTTCTTTTGATGAACTTAGACATTGCCACTGCAGCCAAGTGAAGATTGTTTTACACAGTAAGTTGTGTAGGGAACTCCTTCATTTACCCCTGGGCTAGTGAAGTTTCATAAAGACAGTGAAAGAGTAAATATGATTAACCTCTTTTCAAAGTTTTCCCATTCTTATCTGGTACATATGACGGCATCAGTATAAATACTGATGCAATTGCATTTTCAGCTGTCCTCTCGTTGGAATATGGTTTTGCATAATTAGAGTTTCTTTGGCACCTAAACAATGTCGATACTTGAAAAGCATTTATAACTGCTTTGGAGGTACTATCCCTCTTTGCTGTTGCTTAATGCATGATGTTTATGCATCTGAGTAGATAAACACGTACTCCGTCCTTGACAACTCAAGCTTTTAATGAGCTAGTAAATCTGCAATCATAGTGAGGTTCTTATAATCTGTTCTTATCACGGAACACAGAAATCACTTCCACATTTTTTGGGCTCTTTGAGGGTTTTTCTTTTCTTCAAAGTGTAAAGGGGCAAGATCGAGGGAGTTATATAGATAGCCTTACTCTCTTTCAAGCTGCTTTAGCTTTAGAATAAGAAGGTGACTCAAACACAAAACAATGGCACCTTTTTGAAGTCGAACTTTCTATTGCAGTGGAAGAATGTTTGTGCACTTGCTTCTTCACAGTATGCCACTTAAGAAAACCGCAGGAAAAATTTTCCCTAGTCATGACTTTTGAACTCTCAATTTATTCGTCCAGTATTGTTGCTAGTCTCAATTGTGTTGAATTACTGTGCAACTGTGGATCCAGGACGAAAAGGTGTTAAAGGTGCTCAGCCAGGTCCAGTGCTATCTTGGGCCCAAAGGGTTAAAATTGCTGTTGGGGCTGCAAAAGGCCTCGAATATTTGCATGAAAAGGTGCAGCCTCATATTATCCACCGCGATATTAAGTCCAGCAATGTTTTACTTTTCGAGGATGATGTCTCCAAAATTGCTGATTTTGATTTGTCAAATCAAGCCCCTGACATGGCAGCACGCCTTCATTCTACTCGAGTCCTGGGGACTTTTGGTTATCATGCTCCGGAGTAAGTGTTTCGTGTCTTGTGTAGTGGCTATAGAGATAAACCTTTGTGCTGAGTTTTAGTTATTTTGAAGTTGGTCTGATCCTGATTGATTTTGGGAGGCAGGTATGCAATGACTGGGCAGCTGAGTGCAAAGAGTGATGTTTACAGCTTTGGTGTTGTTCTTCTGGAGCTGTTGACTGGTCGTAAACCTGTGGATCATACGTTGCCACGAGGACAGCAGAGTCTGGTAACGTGGGTATGTGGTCTATCTCATTGGTCGTATTAGTGATGGAGGATTCTCATCTTTTTTTTCCTCTCCTAAGATTTGTTTGCACGGTGTCAGTCTCCATTTGGGATTCAATTAGAATTGATCATCAGCATTCTATAGTTGATGGTTTCACATTTAAATGAATTAGGCGACTCCGAAACTCAGTGAGGATAAGGTGAAGCAGTGTGTTGATGCTAGACTACAGGATCAATACCCTCCTAAGGCAGTTGCTAAGGTAATAATTACTGTTCTCTTTGGTCTAGAATCATGTTCAGGGCCTCTGCTCTTTATTTTATAGTGCATTCCTTTCAAAGTTCATTTGCTCTTGAACGCACCTAATTCGTGCCACCAGTCAGTCTGTTGATTTTTCTTCCTTTCAAAGCTCATTTGCTTATATTACGATGATTGGGTCCTCCAAAACAGATGGCTGCCGTCGCTGCCTTGTGCGTGCAATACGAAGCAGATTTCCGGCCGAACATGAGCATCGTAGTAAAAGCTCTGCAGCCTCTTTTGAATGCTCGAAGTGGAGCTTCCAGTGAAACACCAAACCTGTGACTGCGCAAAGCCATTGGTTTGATTGATTTAAGCAACCGGCATGAAAGGAAGTAGACAGTCTAGTTTCATTCACTCACAAAACTGTAGAGAGTTGATTTTCAATCGTCCAAGTCCAACGTAAATATGCATTTGACTTTATAATTGTTTTTTTTTTTTTTTTTTTTTTTATGAATCTTTTGTACACAATTTATTTTTCTTTGAAATTGAAGTATCAAAAGGGTATACTGACTATTGTATTGTATGGACTGAGTGATTCAAAAAGCAGAAAACCAAAAAAAAAAAGAGAGGATGATTTTATTGATTGCTTTTTAGTTTTGTCACAGTCCAAGTAGAACCATCTTTTTTGCACACACTCCGTCTCCTCCCTCCCGCATTATTATTATGATTGGCATGATGAAACAAACCTTTTTCGTGAAAATTGGAACATCCTTCAAGTACAGCATTATATCTTTCAAGAAACCTGCATTATGCGTCCGCGAACCACCTATAATTTCTATATCTATCTACTGGAGTTTGGGTGCGTGTGTGTGTGTAAATAACAAGATGGAAAGAAGAGACGAAGGCCTGCCTGTACAAACTTCTACTGTACTGCTCCCTCCCATCATCTTTATCTTTCTTATCTTCTTTATCTATAATATAGGTAAAGCGACAGACCAAAAAGGCAAAAAACGATACACTCCACCACAACAAGCTCACTTCCGAGCCTGCCTTTTAAACGAGCAGCAGCAGCTCACAACCTTGGAAGGCCGTTCATCATCATTTAGGATGGTTTTGCTAGCTGGGCAATGCTTAGCCGTCACTTCTTCTCAAAATCGGATTTTCGCTCCTATCTGTCTCGTCATTCTCCCTCTGAGAGCCTGGTTGATTTCTTCGTCTTCTGCCACCCTGATTGTGCAACTGAGCCAAAGTCAGATCAATTATCAAACCTTAATAATGCTGGCGTGGCATCCCACAAAAAAGAGGAATTAGCAATGTCCAAAACTGACTATACAGCAAAGGATATCCACACGAGAAACAGATTCAGCTTTTAAAAGTTCAAACCAGACCTTTCGCAATACTGGATACTCTTCTGATTCAAGCATGCGAGCAACCTGACTCATAATGGGTCTCTTTTCAGCATCAGGATCAACACATCTTAAAGCGGTCAAAAGAGCCCGTTTGAGGGCTGTTGTTGGTGGCCTGGTCTCAATTGTGGGTCAACAACTTCTTCAAAGCGTCTGCTCCCGACCATCACCTTGAGCCAGTCAACTAAGTTTACCTGAAACAACAACAACAACCCAAAAGGAAAAAAATAAAATAAAATAAAATCAAAGGTGTAACTAATAGAAATACAAGGTTCACTTTAGTTGAACCCACAATACATGTCAAGAAAATTTTGGATACAAGCGTGGTAGAGCTTCAAGAAGGATAGTCCTTCCTGAAAAATCAAGCCGAGAGTATCTTAAACCATGAATATGTGTATTTCCAAACTTCTATATCAAACTTGGATACTGTAGGTTCAAGAAAACATTGGAAAACAGAGGAAGGGAAAGTAGATAAAGTACAGATTGTGATTGATTATGGCTCAAGATTGCAAAGTGCGGTTTCATATGATTCATGACAACTTTTATCTGAATCAAAACATTTTCAAGTTTAAACAATCCAGTTTACTCCTTAGTAAAAGCATGCCACTTCTTTGGCCAAAACCTTTGATATTTACAGACAAACATATGTATATATGTTCCAACATTGCTGTCTATCATACCTCAGGTGCAGGGCGACCATAATCTACAGGATCTCTTCCAGTAATGGCTTCCAAGAGCACAACCCCAAAGCTATAAACATCACTCTTCTCATTTAGGAGGCCACTATTTGCATATTCAGGTGCAACATATCTATATGGGTTAAAAAAAGAGGAGGGGGGGGGGGAGGAACAGAGAATGTCAGAAAAAGAAGAGCCGAGTTTGGGTTAATTGGAGAGCTCGTAAACAGAAAGCAGTAAGGAAAAGGAAACTTTGTCCAATTGAGATCGGATATCTGATATAAATACCCACCCAAAGGTACCCATAACTCTGGTTGTAATGTGACTTTTTCCAGCACCGAGCAGCTTAGCCAGACCAAAATCAGATAGTTTAGCATTGAAGTCATCATCAATGAGTATATTGCTGGACTTTATATCTCGATGCACCACTTTGGGCTCAATTGCCTCATGCAAATATGCAAGACTGCAAGAAGCATATCTCATTTGAACTTAAAATGGAGCCTAAGAAAAACTTCAAAGACAAGAAGAAGTTTGTAGATGGACTTACGCTTTTGCAGTGCCTACTAAAACTTTCATACGAGCCTCCCAAGTAAGATAACCACGATGGCTCATGGCTCCATGAAGCCATTGCTCTAGATTTCCATTGTTTACATATTCATATACCAACAACCTGAATTTTATAGGGAAGTCCAACAGAGGTAAAGTAAAGTTAGCTCGCTAAATGAAAAAGGCCTTGAGGTTTAACCACCTGATCAGTAAATTTTAAGGGTTCAAACAAAATGCCGATCTGCATCTCATTTAAATCTAATGCACAAATGAAAAGAAGATGAAACAGGTTTAAGCAGTAATGTGCCTGTGAGTTCCTTCAATACAGTAACCCAGAAGTCGAACTAAATTTTTGTGGCGGACATGACCAATAGCCTCAACTTCAACCCTGAATTCCTTCTCTGCTTGCCCTCTGGACATTTAGAAACAAGAGAAAAGGCTTCTTGTTAATTATTTATCAGGTTCTGTAGAATACTTGAGGTACCTTATATAAACCCATCCGAGAACTTACATATTGTTGAGGATTTTTTTAACAGCAACAGGAGAGCCGTTTATCAGTCGGCCACGATAAACAACACCATATCCACCCTCACCAATAACATTTTCCTTGGAAAATCTGTTGGTTGCAACTTCAAGGTCCCTAAGCGTAAACCAATGACCCCAACCAAGGTGAGAAAACTCAGGAAGACCTGATAAAGGGGAAGAAACAGCTACTGGATGTGAATTATATATTGCTCCAGCGCCCCCCTTTTCCCCTGACTCACACGCGACACCTTCTTTCTCCAAATTAGTAAAGGAATCATATTGACTGCTATTATCAGCATTCATGGCCTTTTCACAGCTAAGAAGCTTATCTGAATCTTTATCACTAAACTTGTCCTGAAGGGTAAGGAAATCAATATCATGGGCAGCATAATTTTTGGCTGAATATTGGTCAACCTTGATCTCTTTAATTTCCTTTGATACCTTGGGAATTTGGCTAATTGGAAGAGTGGCACTGCCTCTTTTTGATCTTTTACGTGACAGACAAAATGGCAGAACCAAAACAATAAACACAAGGAACAAGCCCACAAAGATGGCTATTAAAACCCACACCTTAAGATGAAAGATGTGAGTTCTCTTTGACAGTTCAAAGTTAAGGCCGGATGCCATTTTAAACAAATGAAAGCACCTGCAGAAAGAAAACCGAGATATCATGAAGAGAGTTTGCAGTGGTAACTAACCCATATAAATCGTGATGGCATTCTTGCTCTAGCTAATACTCACTTTTAATTTAAAACGCAATTTACTTTAGCCGAATTCATACTGCCCTTCTGTCAGCCCAGGTATACATTGTCTTGCATCAGCAAGAAGAAAAAGAGCAGCACTACATAAGAGAAATGGTTGAGCAAAGGCAACCAATGAATCACAAAAAATAGTAGCTTGAACAATTTTCAGGAGCCACAAAGTTCTGACATAAAACAGAGGGAGAGATTGCCCAAAAAATATGACGTTAAAGATGGAGCCAATACACATTATCCAAACACACGGGAGGACCGTATGCAGACTTTCAGAGACCAATCAAAAAAAGAAATGAACAGCAACTGAAGCAGCAAACAGCAAAATGTTCCACATGTAATGAACAAAATCGCAATGAAATTCAAGCAAAGCTTCAAACTTTTACCTCTATTTTGATGAGATTGAAGAACGAGGGACCTTTCTCTCCAATAGCTTTTTATTTTGACAACTTTACAGAGAAAACTCTGAACCCTAGATCTCTTCTTATGAGAGGAGGCCTGAAACACATTTGGAAATGTACGCAAGTTTAGGCTCCCAAATTAACTCCCACTTTATCAAGAATCCCAAGCATACAGGAACTTTTGCAGGATTTCCTTTATGGTTTCTCCTAAATGGGAATCCTGCTAAGAACTACTACTGCTGCTGCTATTCTCTAGAACAAGCAAACTTGAATAAGTTAAGCAGTAGTCCAGTTGAAGAAAGTGGCCCTTTGGGGAAATTGAATTAGTAATGGCAGAGGCCACATGGAAGTCTGGGAAGCAACGGTGGCGATATGAAAACTTAAAAGAAAAACAAAAGGAATGCTATGCTACTAAGAAGAGGCAGGGAGTTATCAGTGGTAGGTGAGGCCTCTATGTTGGAACATACAGTAGAAGTGAAGCATGAAAGTTGAGGGCTACTTTATGGTTTGCTTTTCCCTTTTATGGGTTCATCCCAAAATTGAAACTTGAAGGTGCCTCGAAGGTGACTCTGACAGATCATCAGAGTACTAAGAAAAAAAAAATTGAAAAATACTACTGCTACATATGATGGGCTAACTGCTGCTATCCTATTTGTTCTGCTGTTGTTGTACTACTAAGTAGTTATCCTTCACAAGAAGGCACTGCTGTACTTCTTGAAAATTTTAACAAGCTTATTAACCAAAATTGTTTGAAAATAGAGTGAAATGGCATCAGTTTAGATTTATAAATTATAGTAAGAGTCTACTAGTAATCAGTGCCACTGAGGACAAAAGCGAGGTGTTAGTACCAGTGGTAATTTCCATTGAAAGGTCAAATTGTACAAAAAGTGTATTAGCAGCGGCCCCAAATGGCGAGTTCCAAACACACACTCATGACATCCCAGTCTGTTTGGATTGTGAATTATTAGAGATATTTTTACTGTAGCATTTTTTGTGATGTGATGTATGTGAGATAAAAAGGTAATTGAGAAGGTAAAAAGATGTATTAAAAATTGTAATGATGATGTAAGTAAATAAATTTGGGGAAATAAAGCCCAATCCAAACAAACCCGTCATTCCTAGTTGTCAGACATTTTCCTTGCTAAGAAATTTATCTAGGAAAAAAAGGGGTAGTGCATTAATAGCGGCGAAGGAAGAAGGAAGAGAGGGGGGGGGGTGGGGGGGGAAATCGGGGTTGGTGAAATGGATTTTAATTTGAACAGCTCCTACTACTTAATGATTGGGAAATGCAACCTTAGCCCGGTCGGTTGGAAGTCAAAGAAACAGGCTGGATGCCCCTACCATGCCAGTTGCCAGTTTTAATAGTGCTGCCCCAGCTCCGGGGCCCGACCCCCGGGGGCAATTTCTCTCGTGGAAATGCTAGTAATAGGCTTTTATAGTACAGGTACAAAAACTGACTGGGAAAAGGGTAGAAGAAAAAGGTGCCGAAGATGAGGAAAGAAGGTGTACTTGGGTATATAGCTCGTCAATCATGATCATCTGGTGCGGGTTGCGGGTGGGTTGATGAATGCGCCAAGTAAATCAGCTTCAGCAATAGACGATAGCTGTGCTACTGCCTACCCACCTACCAAAGACCCCAAGAAAAAAAAAAGGAGGAAAAAAAAGACAGACAAGGAGGAATGTATGTACGGTAGCCTGCCTGCAGCCAGTGAAAGTCCGCAACGGATCTTCTGTCCCACATTCTGTGTCACACTCTGTCTCATTTTTTATTATATTGCTATTTCTCCTACATAAACATCATGTTTTAGTTCTTTTTTGTTTCCTTAAGATTCAATAACTATTAATTGAGTTACACACAAAATTTAACAAATTCAAAATGCATAAAAAATGAGATTTTTTATGAATTTTTTACTGTATTTTTTAATTTTCTATTATATATTACTTTTTTTAAGCTGCTGTATTTATTTTTTATTCAATTAATAGTTATTGAATCTTAAGGAAACAAAAAAAAATTAAAACATGATGTTTATGTAGGAGAAATAGCAATATAATAAAAAATGAGACAGATAGTAGCACAGGATGTGAAACAGAGGATCCATTGCGGTGAAAGTCTGAAACCCTTTGCTGGTTCCGGAGACAAATTACAACCAACTGCCCAGACAAGTAAAGTAGTACATCCTCATTGCATACCTGCATGGGCTAGAAAAAGAAAGTTGGCTATTGTTTGCCTGCTAATAATTTGGTCAACCAAGCAAAGCAAGGTATAAAAATTAGTGGTAGAATTCACCAGATATTATGTCTTGTCTTGTCTTGTGAGATGAACGAATATGTAACATCGGCCGCTTCATTCTATAATATATTAGTACATACATATATATGTCCTCGTACTAGTCGACTGCTTCATTCTTTATTTATGGTTGGCATGAAAGCCACTAGCTAGCTAGTATTTCATTTCAAGCACCTCTTCCATGGTAGAGTTGATGAAGTAACCACAAAGATTTTCTGAAATGTTTGCCATTTCTTGAACCCCATTAAAATTTACCTACTTGAATTCTTCCAGAATAGAAATTCTTCAAGTGGAAAAATACTTCTCACCAACAAACTCTCTTCAATTCCATGCTCATACGTACAAATCTGGATTGGACGGCAGTACTGGGATAATTTTGTCAATTCGTTCATCATACTGTTTATTCATTCATTGTTGATCCATCAAACTCGTACTGCTGTCAACCAAAACATTTTTGAGGTTTTTTTCAAACTTTTTATGTGTTTTTCTCTCGCGGACGCAGCAGCATATATGTATATTTGTTGTTTTCTGGTGCACAGTCAACATCCGAGGGATAATAGAATTAATGCAAATGGTGAAGTTGCAAAGTGGTTGGTTACTAATTAATTACAAACACGCGTGGCGTTGATACTAAAAAATACCCAAGTCAATCACGATTAGGGAGTCGAGGTAACGTATTAAAGAGAACTTTACATAATAATAGAATTTTTAATAAAAGCATTTATTAAGTCCTTAAGTGTTTTTAACTATACTGTTTGGAGATGTAGTTTATAATAAGTCCTTAAATAATGTGTAATTTCAAATTTTTGAAATGTATTTATCTTTTTTATTTCATTCATAATATAAGATAAAATAATTAAATTTAATAGTTTATTTTGTAAAATACAAAAACTATTCCAAAAGCACCAAATTTTAACTGTACTTTCAATACCTAAAATTTCACTCCTAATTTTATGGGATGAAATTCACTAAACGCCTTAAAAATACTTTCTTTTTTCACCTAGAGGCGTTTTTTTGTTTTTTTTTTTTTTAAAATAACCAAAAGCACTGCAACCCCAAATTAGGCCTTACTATATACTGCCGGCTGAGACTACTTTTTTGAAAAAATAACGAAAAGGAACGGGGCTCTTGCACCCTTGTTGGAATCTTCTTCACAATGTTGTTTTTCTTTTTTTGCCCCTTCTGGGCCATCTTAGCTAGTTTAATCAATGTTAAGCATATATGGAAAGGAGTTTAGAAATGTAACTGACCTTAGAAAGCCTCCTTTCTCACCCCGGGGGGGGGGGGAAGAAAGAAGAAAAGAAAGGAGGATCATGCTTAACAGTCATCTAAATAGGGTCATCCCAGGACCCAAATTCGAGGAGGAGATTATCCCAGACAGGTTAACATGCAAATTCGGACGAGAGGATGTCGTAATTGGAGTACATAGCTTTTTTAATTAGTTGTTACTAATTTAATTAGGCTTTTCTGAAGCAGGTGGAAAGTTTGAGGACAGACAAGCAAACCTTAATTCTTAATAGCACCAGGGCATCAGTGGTATGTTTAGTTATACTGGTGTTTGGCCTGAATTACTTGGTCTAATACACGACAGAATCCTTGTGGTATATACTCTTAACGCATATAGCAATTTCAATATGAGTGTATACGTATGTCTACGAACATGTTCATGGTGATGCTCTTTTTTTTTTTTTTTTTAAAGTGTAATTTCCCTGTATAACACATATTTTCCAACCAACTCGCGAACTAATGAGTTAAATTTTTCTATGTTCAGCTCGAATTTGATAGCTCGATTTGGCAGACCTAAGCTCAACTTGAGCTTTGATCGAGCCAAGTTAAATTTTTCTATGTTCAGCTCGAATTTGATAGCTCGTGTTCGTTTGCAGCCCTAATTTAGAAGCACAATTTTGTCATAAATTAATTTAGCCATCATTTGCAATAACCTCAAAGCATAAAATCCCAAAAGATTCAGTATGTACATAATTCGAGTGCGTACTTTTTGTAGATGGGATCACCGTCTACAGATGATTTCACATCAGGCAGAGGTTGGTTACAAGTTGACAAACATTCTGTAAGTTCATGCAACCAACTGCAGAAAATTGGCGTCTGAGAATAGCTGCCGGAAGGCAAACCAACCACCCACCACCCACCCACCACCACATGGAAAGATATAGGGGGCTTAAAAGACCACTGTGCATATCCACCCTGTTCAACAGGCTTGCATCTGATACGTACACATTTTCAGCAGTCCTAGATCAAAAAGCTTACACAAAAGAGTCATCGCCTTGACAACAATGCAAAATAAAGGGGGATGTGAAAAAATATATATATAAATCAGACCCGTGATTTACAGATAGAAAAACACAATATGATATATGCACATCTCGAGTTAAGAATAGATTAGCACTATAAAACAACAGCAGCCCGCAAACATCATCTCTCACATTCACCAAAGGAAACTCACAGGACAGCACGAATTTGGTTGAAGACATCCTTTGTTTTGATTTTACAAAATTTACTCAATAGGTTGTCCCCGACTTCAGATACAATAATCTCCTCGTCGTGGGAGCAGGTGGAGCCAATCCCGGAATGTCACGTATGCTTTTGTTGTGGGGATTCACAATCTGAATTTCACAAATTCAGGTCAGATACAGCATTCAAGCAGGTCTCGAAAACAAGTTATTTACATTTCAAAGTGTACTAAGGCTGCCAATTCATGCAAATTTATGATACACAGGCGCTTAAAAAGCCAAAACACCAAAACAATCATTTATCTATCTCATTACTGCAGCTTGAGTTGCATATCACTACAACAAGCAAGTTATGGTACAATCACGTAGCAAAACAGTACGAGTTACCAAAAAAAGAAAAGAAGACATAATCTCTGCTAAGAACGGTTGTCTCAATGTAGATAAGACGAAGCATCAAGCAATATTATGTTTCCTAAACAGACAATAGTGTCTGCCTAACATTTATAAACATGTCAAGGTAGATAAAAACAGTATTCAGATCATTGTGGAATCCTTTTAGGCAAGTCTTACAAAGCCGCCTCTGTCAACAAAAGAAAGTTACCAAGAAAAACAATGATAAGTGTTCTGCCATTGCAAAAATTAAAGATGGTGCTGTGTTTCATAATGTAAAAATAGCAAAACAACTCTTGAAAACATCGTAACCCAAAAACTAGAGAAATTACCTTCACAACGATTATGGCTATTACTCCACAGACAATGAGGAATAGAAAAAACATGAT